GAACAAATTGTTAAGAAAATGTATAATTATATGCTGGAAATTAAAATGCAAGATGAAACAGTTAAGGAATGTATGATTAAGTGGGCACAAAACATAGGGCATAATATTGATATTGATCAGTGGCTGAAAATATGGCAAAATAACATAAAGCTTACAAGATTGGTTAATTTTAAAGAGAATATATATAAGATGTTTTATAGGTGGCACATGACCCCAGAAACATTGTCAAAGATATATACAGATGTATCAAATAAGTGTTGGAAATGTGAAACAGAAGTGGGAAGTTATTATCATATGTGATGGTCATGTGGAGTAGCAAAAAAATACAGGAAAAGAGTACATGCTATGTCACAACAAATATTGCTCTGTAAAGTGCCATTAACCCCAGAATTGTTTTTACTGAATATGATACCCAATAATATAGATAAGTCAAAGGAATACATAGTTATATATATTGTTACGGCAGCTAGAATTATATATGCTAGAAATTGGAAAAGTCTGACGGTACCGAAACAAGAAGATCTCATTGAAAAGATACGGGAAATAGCCGAAATGGATATCTTATTAGAAGTCATGAAAGATCATCCCCTGCAAAAGGCAACAGAAAGATGGGATCTATTTAACAAGTGGACTGAATCAACAGGCAGCAGCTGAATAACATATATTGAAATGCAAACTCTATCTACAAGGCAGAAAAGAGTAAACAGAATAACTTAAAATCTTGATATGGCAACAGGTATAGATTGGATATCAGTATGTTATTGTCTCCCCTCTCCCTCATTAATTCCAGCTCCCTTTTTCCCTTTTGTCACCCCTTATGTTAAAAAATAAAAAAATGGGAAAAAAAGAATATTCTTATGCAGAGTGTATTACAAATTCCATATAACTAAGGACTACATTACTTGCTAAGTTAGGTCAAATCAGAAAAGCTTGTAGCCTGTACTCTGAGTTGTACAAAAGCACTGCTGGTCCCTGCTGCCCCTTGGGAGTTGAGGGACAACACAGAATCAAAGAGTGCTCCTAAATAATGAACCTGATCTTTCAAGGGGAGTAAAAACTCTTCTAGAGTAGGTTGAACTCCAGTTCCCAATCCTGTAAACCAGCAGCACCTCCATCTTGTCAGGAATTAATTTCAGCTTGTTCACCCTCACCAAGTGCATTGTCAATTTCAAGCAATGTTCAGAGCTCTAGACTTGGTGTCAGGTGGCAAAAAAAAACACAAAAAACTGGGGCCCCTCAGCATGTTGGTGGCACCACATCCCAAAGCTTCAAATTATCTTTCCTAATAGCTTCATACTAGTAGCTACCATCCTGGGGACAGGGTCAAACTCTGAAGGGCAACATGCCTCATCTCATTTTCTTAGTTACTACACTGGTCCAATATGAATCTGTTCTCGATTCAGTACATAAACTAAACCCCACTTTGTTCGAATCTATTCACAATGAATCTGACTTGAGATTGCTATCCAAGTAATATACAGGCTAGGAATAACTAGCAGGGGTCAGTTTGCATTGCTGACATTAATAATGCCAGCTGAGCACAGGCAATCCATCTTGTAATTCTTCAGTATCATCCATGACAAATGAATGCACAGATTCAATGGCCTGACTTTGCTGAAGGTCATGTATTCAAAAGCCAGGTAAGAAATAAAAACTGGGACATCATCCTTAGAAAGTTGGCTTGCTTTTACAAAAGTGCTTAGGAAAACAGCTTGTTTGAAAAAGCCAGGCTTTTGTTTAGTTTTCCTGCCACAGTACAGAGGATCTGGAAATCCTCCAAGCACAGTAGAAACCAGGAAAATAGAGGTGTTTTTTTCAGCTGCAATTTTAAATTTGATGGTAATCTGGTTGATCCTAATTTTTATTTGTTCCAGCAAGAGAGATTATAAACATGTGTGTTATCTTCCAATAAAACTAATGGAGCACCACACTGCTCACTTGTGGCAAATTGCTTGCCTGTTGGAACTGAGATTTTACCACCCTAGGAAAAACATCCATAAGCAAAATAGATTTTGCCCTTCACTCAGACTCTGTGGGAAATTCCTGTTCATGATGTTCCTTCTATAGCCACTCCGCAACACTACCCTTCTTATCCTGTGGTGGGTGAGAAGAATTAGTTGGAGAGGACAATATGAAAATAACTTGGTGCCAGTTTCCAGACAGCTCTCCTTTACTCTCTCTGGCACTGGTGCCTCTTCTGCTGCTTTCTATGAGTGGACAGGCGCTTAACATATGTGACAACTCCTTTTGCAGCAGCGTTTGGTGTGAGCTAGTTTTGAAGACATCTGTTGAAACTCTGACCATTGGCTTTCTCCCACGTTTAATTTTTTAAACCTTCAACTTTTCCCCCACCCCGATATGGCGAGAAAATGATAACATTAGTAAATTATTTAAAAATAAACTGAAATGAAATTAGTTACATAGCCAAATGCCATAAAGTACCATATTAAACCTGCCACATTATATAGGTTTTGAAGAATAGAAGCCTGCAAGACCAAAAAGAAAAAGAAAAGAGTGATACCTCTAATTACTAGCACGGATTAAAGGATTCAACAAGGATTGAAACATGTTTTCACAGTTAAGCATTCAAAGCTCATATTGTTGTTTTCTCTCTTTTTTAATGCCTTCAGTTATTTACTCTGAAATGATAAGTTCAAAATATGAATTTGCAAATTTTGGTAAAATTTTCCTCTCAATTTAATTTTTTTCCTTGTAGTAAATAGAGTGCAATGGAACCTAAATGGCAGCTCTTTTCAGGAACTCGTAAACTGCATCTGTGGGGGGAAGGATGAGGACATGCATGCTAACCTTGCCCATCACTCTGACCTTCCCACACTGAGCAGGCAATCTGAGGTAAGACTGTAGCCATGCTTGGCTGAATATATTTAAAATGCTCTCCACAACTGGAAGCCTTGAGTGATCAGGATTTCGATTGTGGCCATAATCTCATTCAGCCAATCATGGTTACCAATATGGTCAGGTAAATGTAAGGAAGTCAGAGTGGAGAAAGTGGAGAAAGTGCACACATATCTGCATCTCTTACAAAGATACATATATCATTCAGAGGGCAATATATGACTTGGTCTCAAAGGTAATTACCTTGTTAAACAACACCTGATTCTGTCTATAGAAACAGTGGTCTCTCAAGTGGCAAAAATGTATGGTTATGAAAGTTTGTGAAAGCTAGACAAACTAGCATCATTAGGATGAATGTAAATAATGTCTTCCTTTACATCTCTAAATTTGGAGACACATAATACAAAGGAAATCCTACAACTAAGAAGAAAATGTGGGCCATTTTTGCACCACTTGGATCAACTCACTCTCTAGAAAAAATATATCTTTTTTTTCCTGGCTGAAAAAG